ACAAATGGAAAGGGCAATAAGATAGAGGTACAGCTAGTTAAAGATAGATGTAGGTCATCAAAAAGAGTTAAAAATAAAGATGGGCAAGAAGACCCCTGAAAAGATGGGGAGGGCATGGTGCCAGCAGGAAAAGGGTGAAGCTGTCAACAGTATCATTTTACTTGAACCCACAATCAAAACCCATGGTAGCTGAAAGGTCACCTTGGGACCTGGGTGACATCTTGTGCTGACCACACCTTCTAAGAGACATCCCAATCTACCTGGCGTAAGAGTAAGACGACTGGCCAATCAGAAGGAAACCCAGCCATCAACCACATCTTGCATGACTGAGCTGCTCCCGTCATTAGAAGCTAACAAAGGGCATCCAATCAACTTTCTTCACAAGATTTGACCACCAGTTTGACCTCCTGACCCCCAACCCCTACCTATAAAGTTTAACCTGTAGCTCTTCCTCACTGGTAACTTTGCTGCCTAACCCTTCCTTTCCCTGGCCTCAGACAATAAATCTGCCCCGAGAGCCACTAATAAACTCTTTTGTTTCACTTCGCCTGATTCTCTGTGCCTTTTTTACCTTACAGTAGCAGCAGTCAAGAAATGAAAAGATGCATTACATTGGTGAAATCTGCTTTCAGGGACCTCTCCAAAGTGTGAAACAGCAAGTATAACAGTTTAAAAACACGTGAGCCTGATCCCTGCCATGTTAATTTCAATTGCTTCTTATGCATCTGAAATTTGGCCAGTGAATAAGGAAGACTGAAGAAGATAGATGCCTTTGAGTTGTGGTTTTGGAGAGGAGTACTAAATATCCCAAAGACTGCCAAAAGAATAGACAACTCTAGCCTGAAGGGAGCACAGCTAGGGTACTTATTAGAGGCAAGGATGGTAAAATTTTATCTCATATGTTTTTGGCAAGTTGTCAAGAGGCACCAGCCCTTGGAAAAAGACATCATGCTTTTCAAAGAGTCAAAAGTAAAGAGTCCTTGAAAGAGAGGAAGATCCTCAATGAGATGGATTAATGCAGTGACTACCACAACAGGCTTGAACCTGGGGGAGATCAACAAGATGGTGCAGTACAAAGCAAGGCTCAGATCTGTTGTTCACAGAGTTACTATGAGTCGTAATCAGTTTGATAGCACCTAACAATAACAAAGAGCCAATGCCTTTGGAATAATACAGTGTTGTTGAACAATCACGATACCATGAGATGCAAGAAAGGATTAACATGGGTGGGGTGGGAGATGGGGAGGGAACAGCCAGAATGCTACTTAGAAATAATGCTGTCTAAAAGGAAATTGGAAAGATCCAGCAGGGAGGGATCTGGAAAGACAGGGTAATTGTGGGCATAGTTCAATGGTGATTAATATTATAAAACATAATTAATGGAAATTATTGTATGAAACACAATGTAAATGAAGGATAGTGTGAAACACAATGTATACGAACTTTGTACGCAAACCAACATAAAATAAAATTTAAAAGAAGAAGTAAGAATGTCAAGATTTAGCTCACATACTTTGGATATATTATCAGGAAGGACCAGTCCCTAGAAAAGGTCATGATCCTTGGTAAAATAAAGCATCAGCGAAAAAGACAAAGATCCTCAAATTAACACAGTAGCTGCAATAGTGGATTCAAGTATAGCAGCAACTGAGGATGGTGTAGAACTGAAAAGTATTTTGTTCTGTTATGCACAGGATCACAGTGAATTAACAACACAATAGTACCTAACAAGAGCCAGCAGCAACAACTACTTTGTATATGAAAAGTAACCACACTCCGTTGCACTGGGGAAATCTGCTCTGAAGGACCTCTTCAAAGTGTGCAGCACTTAGTCTAGACTAAGGTGCCCCTGATGCAGGCCATGGTCTTTGCAATTACTTGCTAGACATCAGAGAGCTGGACAATGACTAAGGATGATAGAGGAAGAATTGATGCCTTTGAGTTGTGGTTCTGGAGACAAGTCGAACATATCATGGACTGTCAAGAGAACAAACAGGTTTGTCTTGGAGAGGGTGAAACCAGGCTGTTCCCTGGAGGCAAGAATTCTGAAGCTCCATCTCACATACTTAGAGTACATGGCCAGGTGGAACCAGTCCTTGGAGAATGATATCATGCTTGATGGAGGGAGAGAGTGAGAAAGGAAAACTCCAGATGAGATGGATTGACACAATAATTGGGGTAATGGAGCAGGTATCTAGAGAAAGTGAGACTGGGTCAGGATAGCGCAAGGTTCAGAACTATTGTTCTTAGGCAACTCATAGCAACCTTCTGCACAACAGATCTGACTCTGACCCTATCATGCACCATCCTCATAATCTCTGATATTCAAGTCCATTGTTAATCTATTTTGTTCAAGATCTTGCTCTCTTTCTCTGATCCTCCACCTTTCCCAGCACGACATGGACTGGTTCCTGCACAAAGTATGTGAGATGAAGTTTCACCAGGCTTGCCTCTAAAGAGCACCTGGCTGGCTGCACTTCTTCCGAGACAGACATGTTTGTTCCCTTTGACAGTCCAAGGGATATTCAATATTCTACCCCCACAACTCAAAGGCATTGACTCTTCTTCTGTCATCCCTAGTTATTGTCCAACTTTCAGATCCATAACAAGCAAGTGAGAAGACTATTGTTTGGATCAGGTACACATTCGTCCTTAAACTACCATCCTTTCTGTTTGGCATTTTGGAGAGGTCTCTGACAGCTGCTACCATGAGTGCTGATTGTGGAGCCAAGTATAGCATAGAAATCTTTGAGAATTCCAATCTTTTCTCCATCTATCATGATGTTGACCATTGGTCCAGTGGTCAGAATTTTGTTTTCTTGATGTTGAGGTATAGCTCATACTAAAGTCTTTGATCTTCTGTAGCAAGTGTTTTGGGTCCTCTTCAATTTCAGCAAGCAAGGCTGTGTCATCTACAAAAGGCAGGTTGATGCCCCATTCTTTTTCACATAGTCCAACTTCTTGAATGATTTCAACATACAGACTGAATAGGTAAGAAGAAAGGATACAATCTTGAAGCACATATTTCCTGATTTTAAACCATGGTCCCTTCTCTTCAAACAACTGCTTCACACTCCCTCTCTACCCGGCCCTTGACACGACACAGTGTTGTGCTAATAGCTAGCACACTTTCAGTATGTATTCGACAAACGAATGCATATGAGAGTAAAAGAGGAAGAGAACAGACATAGTAACTCCAATGAAGTGTGCTCCAGAGGTTCAGAATAAGCTCTCCTGGAATATAAAAGTCATTGCTGATGGACTATCTGTAGCCCACTCATCACCCTGGAGGCTAATAAATGCATAAACATAGAGTTGTGGTGTTGGTGAATAGTAGTGAACATACAGTCCCTGAACTGCCAAAAGAACAAGCAAATCTATCTTGAAGGGGTGCAAGCAGGGTGCTCCTCTGAGAAAAGGAATGTGAAGCTTTCCCTCACATATTTGGGTCATCTTGTCAGGAGGTGTCAGTCCTTGAGAAAAGTCATCAGACTAGGAAAGACAAAGAGTCAATGAAAGAGATTTGCACAGCTCAATAAAACAGATTGGCATAACTAATGTAACAATGGGCCTGAGTATGACAGTATGAACCAGTTGTTCTTAGGGTTGCTATGAGTTATAGCAAATTTGATTGCATACAACAGCAACCCTATAATCCAATAATTTCACTTCTAAACATTTACCCAAGAACATGGAAAGTGGACTCTTAAGAAGAATGTGGCATCAGGACTGGAGGGAGACTCATCAACAACCAGCCTTGTGCAGATGACAGGACCTTGCTTGCTCAATGTAAGAAGGATCTGAAACACTTACTGCAGAGGATCAAAGACAACAGCACAGCCTTCAATATGGATTGCAACCCAACATGAATAAAACAAAAATTCTCACCACTGAGCCAACAGGTAACATCATGATAGATGGACAAAAGTTTGAAACTGCCAACGATTTCATCTTCCTTGCTCAGGAGATCAGATGTATCCACTGTCGGGGATCTTGCCAAATTACTGGGGAGTAATGAAATCAGTTTGAAAACTAAGAGGTGCCTGAGTCAGGTGCCATTGACTTGCTATGCATCTGAGAGCTGGACAATGAATTAGGATAATGGAAGAATTGATACCTATGAGTAGTGTTGTTGGAGGATATCCCAAGGTCTGCAAGAAAAAATACCCCAGATATGTCTTAGAGAGAGTGCAACCAGAGTGCTCCTTGCAGGCAACGATGGCAAAGCTTTGTCTCAATACTTTGGGCTTGGTGCTAAGAGAGGCTGTTCCTAGCAAAGGGGTATCTCACTTGGAAAGATCGAGGGTCAGCAAAAAAGAGGAAGATCTTCAACAAAATGGATTGACACAGTGCTGGGCTGGACTTCAGTGTGCTGGAGATGATGAGGATGGCACAGGACAGGGCAGGGTACTCGACTCAATGGCAGCTAACAACAATATGTCTACAACAGACTGGCATAAAGTTGTTCTCCAGTCACAACTCTGTGTGTAGAAATGACACAAATGTGCATTGACTGAGAAACGGATAAACATACTGTGATATACCCATGCAACAAAATACTTCCTGGTGAAAGAACAATATGGCTCAAGCAAATGCATTATGCCACGTGAATGACTGTCAGACACAAAAGAGTGTATATAATAACTACAGACACAAGAAATTCTGAGAGGAAATTGTAAGCTATAGGGACAGAAAACATTGAAAGGTAAGGTTTTTTCAAGCTCATCAAACTTAAGGTTTGGTTCTTTCTCAGCATGTTACTTGTTAAGACAAGAAGGCTGCAAAGAGCACACTCTCCAGATCCGGCCGATCAAGAGGGGCCCAGCTCGCTCCAGAGCGCGGCCAGCGGGCGTGCAGGTCCTCGCTTCGGCGCCAGGCGGCGCCATGGTTCCAGGAACGAGGACTCACGCGGCAAAGGCTCCGGGAAGCGCGGCGAGGGGCGGGCCCGTGCGCTCAGTCCATGCGGGCGTCGGCGCGGTGGGCCGCTGTGAGGGCTCGTCATGGCGGAGCAGCAGCAGCTCCGCGTGCAGGAAGCAATCGACTCCATGGTGAAGAGTCTGGAGAGAGAGAACATCCGGAAGATGCAGGTAGCAGAGCAGAGGCCCTTCCCTGGCGGCCAGGATTCTCGAGCCCTTCGGTCCCCTCCCCTTCGGCCCGGATCCGGGCGTCCCTGGGGTCGCTCACTGCCATTTTCCACCCAGTCCAGCCCTGACCGTGGGCGTCCGTGTCCGGAGTCGGGAAGTCAGGCGTCTGCCCTCCTCTGACTTCACACGCTGCCCTTCCGCCCGAGAGCCGGCACCGGAACGGGCACAGCCAAGGGGGGAACGGAAATGCAAAGCTCCCGATGTCCCTCCCCGCGGCCAGGTCGGGTCCGAGCACCCAGCACCCCTCCACCCAGCGCGGGGCCATTTGTCTCGCGGGCTGATTTCACCCCTTAAATGTTGTGTGTTAAAGGTTGCTGACCTCTGACCTGTACGGAACGTGGTTTTCAAAAACACGGCTTCATTCTCCCCAGCCCCAGGCATGGATGCAACAAGTACCAATAAGCCGGGTGCACGAAGTCCGTGAAGCTCTGCAGTGGGCACCGAGGATAATTTTCCCATTCATTGTTTGGGGGTCCGAATGCCCTTTACTAAAGGCAGATGTCTCTCTAGCAGTTTGAATGCCCCATCCAGCTCTGTGGGAGAAGGATGAGCAGTTTCCTCCCTTAAGATTTCCAGCCTTTGCAAACCCACTGGTCACCTGGGAGGTGGTTCTGACTCAGCCCTTCGCTCCCCACACCCCAGGGCATCATGTTCCGGTGCAGCGCCGGCTGCTGTGAGGACAACCAGGCGTCCATGCAGCAGGTGCACCAGTGCATAGAACGCTGCCATGCCCCCCTCGCGCAAGCCCAGGCCCTGGTGACCAGCGAGTTGGAGAAGTTCCAGGTAAGGAATTTCCCAAATGGCAGACCTTGGCTAAGATCACGTTCTGTGTTCAAAATTCTTGACTTTGTCTTGAATCTTTTTAATATTTGTGAGGGGGGCAGATAACATGACATAATATGAAATATAACATGGCTGGCCAGAGTCCTCATGAGGTTTGAAATTTGAGGAAAAGTGTTAAGTTCAACCGTCTTTTCCCTTAGAAACAATTACTCTAACGGTATTATAGTCATGCCAAGAGCCTTATGCTTTCTGTTTTCTTTTTTTACTATAAACACAAAGTATGTATCTGTATCATGGCGCTCTGGTGGCTTAGTGGTGAGGAATTGCACAGCCAATGCAAAGGTACATGGTTCAAATTCACCAGCTGCTCCGAGGAAGAAACATGGGCGGTCTCCTCCTAGGATTTACAGCCTCTGATAACCTGCCAGAGAGTCAGTTCCAACTTGATAGTAAACAATATATGTATTGTTTTCTGAAACAGCCCAAAGCCATGCAGAAGCATGCTGGGAAAAGGCCTGGTGATCCACTTCTGAAAAATCAACCACTGAAAACCATACAGAACATACTTCTACTCTGAAACCCATGGGTCAGCATGAGTCTGAATTTTAACTCAACAGCAACTGATGGTGGTGGTGATGCTGATGGTGAAAACATATATTAATTCATAAACATTTTTAAATAATAGGATATCCAGGAGACTGAAGCAGGACAGTCTAAAAAAAGCATAGTGCAGGAATCTACTACATTTGTGACCGTTACACCCCCCTCCCCGAGGACTGCCCTTAGCTGCTGTTTCTAGAGGGAAGCCTCGTTATTATTTCGTAGGGAGCAGTTATTTACATGAGCCATTACTGCTTGACTCAGGTGCCTGCCTCACCAGCCACTCTGAGGTTACTAAAACAACAGCATTTTCTTTCTTTAGGCTGAATGATATCCACAATTTTATTTCCCTCTTCTCACTATAAATTTCTTGCAATTTGGGAGAAACAGAACCTGTTTCTGAACTAATCTTTGATATTTTGAGGTTCCATGCATGGAAGAATTATGCCTAATTGGATATATTTTTACATTCAACTGCACAGAATTCTTTATAATTAGTGCCATTGTAGAGGAATAACTTCTCCAAGGTCAGAGAGTTTCTTTTTGTTCATTCCAGCAGTTTCTTAGATTAGTCCTTTGCAAGATTGACTCTTGGATTTACTGTTTAGCTTTCTCCTTCCATTCTGTCTTCAAATCTCTCCAGTAAGGGCCAGAGCTGCTTTACTACTCATGACCAGATGTGAAATGCAGTGCTCATTTTGCAGTCACTATCATACTTGGCCTCCAGAACTCCTCACTTGCCTGGTTTTCCTCTTCCCTCCCTCCCTGGCCACCCTTTCTTGGCCTCCTTTACTAATCCCTCATTTGTACAACCTTTTGAGTATTAATGTGCCATAGTCTTTGGACCTTTTCTAACTGCTAGTCTTATCTAGTAGCTGTGTCATATCTATGCTAACAGTTCTGTCATTAACATTCTAGACCACATTTTGCATCTGAACCCCAGATTCATATAAGCTTGTCTTGTAAGTTCTATGAGGGCAGGAATTGCTTTCCTCCTTGTTCTTTTTCCAACACTTGAAGAGTGCGTGGCACGTAATATAAGCTCAGTAATAATTGCTGAATTGCATTTTCTTTTCTTTTTTTTTTAATTGCATTTTCTGTAGCAAGTACAGACATTAAAGAATCAAGGTTTTTAAAAACTATGTTATTTTGGACTCCTAAACCATAGCATCATGATAGATGGTGAAGAGATTGAGATTGTTAACAGCTTTGGTTTGCAGGTCTCCACAATCCACACTCTTGGTACCAGCAGCCAGGAAATCAAAACAAGAATTGCATTGGGAAACAGACCTCTCCAGAGTACTGAACAGCAATGATGTCAGTCTGGAGACTAAGGTGCACCTGATCTAGGCCATGATCTTCACAATTACTTACTGTGCATCAGAAAGCTAGATAAGACTAGGGATGATAGAAGGAGAATTAAGCTTTTGAGCTGTGGTACTGGGGAAAAAAGTATTGAATATACCGTGGACTGCTAGGAAAACAAACAGATTTGTCCTAGAGAGAGTCCTAGATCAGGCTGCTCCTTAGAGGCAAGGATTCTGAAGTTTTGTCTGACATACACTGGACATGTTGCAAGGAGGGACCAACCCTTGGACAGGGACACCATGCTTGGGAAGGTAGAAGGACAGTGCAAAAGAGGAAGCGCCTCCTCGATGAGATGGATTGATTCAGTGATTGGGGTAATGGCGATAGGTGTGTCAGAGACAATAAAGTTGGCACAGGATAGAGTAGGGTTGAGAGCTGTTGTGCATAGAGTGTATAACCTATGTTGAGATGCAGGCGACTCAACAGCATATGACAACAAACAACAAAGCCACAGTAATACTGAAGCCATAGATTTTGGCATAGAAGCCTATATTTGAACCAAGAGGCTCTTGTGCAAACAGAGCAAGGAAATACTGCATTGTTTAAAATTAAAAAAGGTGTGTGTCAGGGTTATATTCTCTCCCAATACCTGTGCAATGTGTATGCTGATCAAATTATACAAGAAGCAGGACTCTTAGGAGGAATGTGGCATCTGGATCAGAGGGATATTCATCAATAACCTGTGTTACACAGATGACACAACCTTGCTTGCAGAAAGTGAGGAGGATTTGAAGCACTTACTATAGAAGATCAATGAACGCAGTCTTCAGTATGGATTACATCTCAATGTCAAGAAAACAAAGATTGTTACTACTGGACCAATAGGCAACATCATGATGGATGGAGAAGAGATTGAAACTGTCAACAGCTTCATCTTACTTGGATCCACAATTACACCCTTGGTACCAACAGTCATGAAATAAGAAGATGCATTATACTGGGAAAGTCTGCAGTAACAAACCTCTCCAAATTATTGAGGAGTAAGGTGTGTCTGATTCAGGCCATGGTCTTCCCAGTCACTTGCTATGCATCTGAGAACAGAAAAATGAATAGAGATGATAGAATCAATGCCTTTGAGCTGTGGTGTTGAAGAAAAACACTGAACATCCCATGGATGGCCAAGAGAATGAACAGATGAGTCTTAGAGAGGGTGCAGCTTGCGTGCTCTTTGGAGGCAAGAATGATGGGGCCTCACCTCACATACTTTGGGTGTGTTGCTAGGAGTGGCTATTCCTGGAAGAGGTACATAATGCTGGAAGGGTGGAGGATCGGCAAAAGAGAAGGAAGACCTTCAGCCAGGTGGATTGACATGGTGACTGCTGCAGTGGGCTCCTGTGTGTCAGGAAGTATGAGGGTGGCACTAGATGGTTCATATCTTTTGTTCATAGGGTCAGTATAAGTCGTACTCAACTCAAGGGCACCTAACAAGAAGGCATAGTAACTTGCAAGTAACTGTCAATACACATGAATTCATTTATTCCATCAGCATCTGCTGTCCAGTTCTCTGTTGTCTAGGCCTTCCTGGCACCACTCTGCTTTAGTCAGGATGTTGTTAGATGCCGTCAAGTCGACTGCAACTTAGCAACCTGGTGAACAACAGATCTGAATCTTGCCCTGTCCTGCACAGTCTTCAAGATCTCTAATGTGTTTGAGCCCCCTGTTAAGAGTCACTGTCTTCCTTCCATCTTGTTGAGGGTCTTTCTCTGACCCTCCACTTTTCCTAGCATGACGTATTTTTCCAAAGACTGGCATTTCTTCCAAGACAGACTTATTTGTCTCATTGCAACACAACTTTTGATTTCTTGACTGCTGCTACCATGGGTGTTGATTTCGAATCCAGGGAAAACGAAATTGTTCACAGTTTCATTCACATGCAACTAAGATCCTGCTGAAAATTATCCAAAAACAACTGGAATAGCACATCAACAGAAACCTGCCAGAATTGCAGTCCAGGTTTAGAAAAGGCCATGGTACCAGGAACATTATAGCTAATGTTCGATTGGTCTTGGCTAAAAGGAGAGAGTACCAGACAAATATCTGTGTTTCATTGACTGCAAAGACATTTGACTGTGTGGATCACAACAAACTGTGGCTAACTCTGTGAAGAAGGAGAATCCCAGAACATTTGCTAGTGCTCATGCAAAATCTGTACTTGGACGAGAAAGAAGTTGTCAGAACAGAGCAAGGAAATATTGCATGGTTCAAAATTAGGAAATGTGTATGCCAGGGATGCATCCTATCTCCATACCTTTTCAATCTGTTTGTAGAACAGGCCATCAGGGAAACTGGGTGACATTAGGAGGAATGTGGCATCAGAATTGGAGGAAGACTTATCAACAGTGTGCGTTATGTGGATGACACAACTTTGTCAAAAATGAGGAGGGCCTCAGGCATTTGCTGCAGAAAGTTAAGGACTGTAGCCTTCAGTACAAATTTAAGCTCAACATCAAGAAAACAAAAAATTTTCATCACTGGGCTAATTGGCAGCATCATGATAGATGAAGAGATTGAGATTACTCAATTTCAGCTTGTTTGGCTCTACAATCAACTCTCTTGGTACCAACAGCCAAGAAATTAGACAAATTGCATTGGGAAATTTTACTGTCGGGGACCTCTCTAGAGTACTGAAGAGCAACAATGTCAGTCTGGACAGTAAGGTGCACCTGATCCAGGCCATGGTTTTCGCAGTTACTTGCTATACATCAGAAAGCTGGACAATGACTAGGGAGGGTGGAAGGAGAATTGATGCCTTTGGGCTGTGGTTTTGAAAAGAATATTGAATGTACCATGGACTGCCAGGAGAACAAACAGTTTCAACCTGGAGAGGGTGAAACCAGACTACTGCTTGGAGGCAAGTATTCTGAAGCTTTGTCTGACATACTTTGGACATGCTGCATTGAGGAACCAGTCCTTGAAGAGGGACATCATGCTTGGGAGGGTGGAGAGACAGTGCAAGAAAGGAAGACCCTTGATGAGATGGATTGATTCAGTGACTGGGGTCATGGGGTAAATGTGTCAGAAACAGTAAGCTCAGCTCAGTATGGAGCAGGGTTCAGAGCTGTTATACATATTATCAGTGAGTCACAAGCAATGTGATGGTGTTGTATCGTGGTGTTGCCTTTTGGTCCAGTGGTGAGGAATTTTGTTTCCGATGTTGAGATGTAATCTATATTGAAGCCTGGAGTGTGATCTTCTGCAGCAAGTGTCAAGTCCTCTTTACTTTCTGCAGGCAACGTTGTGTTATCCGTGTAACACAGGTTGTTGATGAGGCTTCCTTCTATCCTAATACATTCTTCACATAATCAGATTAGTTTTGAGGATCAAATCAATCCCAGCTCATAGCAGCCCATGTACACTAGGGTGGAACTGCACGTGAAGGATTTTCAGTGGCTGCTTTGACATGGATCACCAGCTCTTTGGGGGTACCTCTGGGTGAACTCAGACTTCCAGCCTTCTAATGAGCAACTGAGCATGTTAATTGTTTGCACCACCCAGAAATTCCAACTGTATTACCCATCCACTACCATCCAGTGGGCTCTAACTAACCATAAATCTCCATGAGTTTCTAAAGCTGTACAGCTTTACAGAAGTAGACCTTCAGAGTGGCTGGTGGCTTTAAACAGCCAGCCTTTCGATTAGCTGCCCAGCACGTCACACTGCTTAGTCAGAATCCCTCAATGGTCCTTTAATTGATCAAGATAATAGCTGCCAAGCCTGTCACACAGAGTTTAGCACATAATGAGCACTTGGTAAATAGAGGCAGGCTCTCAACCTCTTTGTCCACTTCCTTCTTGCTACAGGACCGTCTGGCCCGGTGTACCATGCACTGCAATGACAAAGCCAGAGACTCGATAGATGCAGGAAATAAGGAGCTTCAGGTGAAACGGCAGCT